GGAAAAATGAGCCAGTCACTTTCAGGACCCTGGAGAGTTCACTTCAAAATGTTACACTACTGTATGAAGTTATATCTGTGCATATTATGTCAGTGGAGATGTATGAAGTTATATATATCAATGGTAATTCAACTTATCTTCTATGTTGATCACCCCGAAACAGTTCTTGACTATTATCAACTAAGGCCAAAAAAAAAAAGAATCCTGGCCAGTCTCTATGATAGAACTTAGATCACAGAAAATATCTGACGTTTTGGAAATGTGCAATGCACTGCTTCCAATAATGGCATTTGGGGAATGGCCTGAAGGCTCAGCCAAGAATGAGCTGGGGAAATATCCCTTCCTCCAGCTTTGTAAAGCTTACAGCATTAGGACTTTAAAGACTATTCCAGCATTTTGAACTGGACTTAGTAATAAATAGGGAACTAATGTAAACCCTCCAGACTTTATGTAATGTGGTTCTGTCTTAATCCTTAACAACTCCCAGGTTCCCTACATGTAACACATGAGAGCAATTCAGCCTGAAACATACCAGAAACTAGATGCCTACTCAGGAAGCATTGCTGATGAAGCTCTCTAAATCTATTTCAGGGTTGTACTTAAGGGAAAATAAAAAAATAAACATTGTAAATAAATAACTGACCCCTTTGGAAGCTCCTTAAATTAATGATCTTTGCTAAAGTTGGAGTAGTCAGTTTTGAAGTTCAACAATGCTTTCTTCTCCTCCTCCTCCTCCTCTTCCTCATTTCTACCTATTCTCAATTTTTTTCCACTCCATTAAGCTTCACAAGATACTAGACAGAGGGAGAAAAATTCTGTTTCTCACTTGTCTCTATCATCTTCTCTTTCTTGTTACCCCTTTTCTAAACAAATAGTCCTAAGCATTCTAACCTTTTCTCAAAAGCATTCCGTCTCTTATTCATTTGTTTTTATATTTTGCAGACTCTCCAGGTCTCTGGGATTTTTATGGTGTGCAGTAACCAGAATTGTACATGGGATTCTAATAATAATAGGATCATAAATCTGCAAAAGGCAGGCTTATTTTTGATCTTTTGCCTAATGATCCCTAAAATGGATTTTTCCTTTTTCAAACTTACAGTGCATTAATATATATATATATATATATATTGGGTTAAACCACTCAGCATAATCCCAAGATTAACTAATATCCTATTCAATTTCATAAACTCTCAACAGATCACATAAAAATTAAAAAATTGAAAAAATAATCAGTTTAAAATGACAATCATGCCATTTTAAATTGTGATTTTTTAAAAAAAAACAAAAAACAAACCCAAAGCTCCTCATAAGAGTAGCAACCTCATTGTTTTCCTAAACTCTCAAAGTAAAGGCACAGTCTCACAGAATGGGTCCCTCTGTCAAAGACAATCCTACACATTTATATACTATATCACAAAACTCTTGGTGGTTCACAAGACAAAAAAAAATACCATAAAATAAAGCAACATAGATATAAGGCAATAAAGCCCAGGACAATACAGATAGTCCTCAATTCACAACCATTCATTTAGTGACCGTTTGAATATAATGACACTGAAAAATGTGACACACGATCCTTTTCACACCTGCAACCCTTGCAGATCCAGATCAAAATTCACTTTGTTATGGAATTCACCAAAACTTCATTAATGCAAGAATCCAGTAGTCAAGGTTGCCTTGCTATATTTATAATCTGGGTGGGTTTGAATTTTGTGGGCGTGGTGGTTGGTGATTTGATGTAGAACCCATTATTAGAAGTAGGGCATGGTGTTAGTTCTGTTCTGATTGGTCCATCTTGTCAGTCTGTTGTGAATAGTTTGGATTTTACACCTGATTGGGTGGTAAATTGTATCTAGTTCTATTGTTCTGTTGATGGCTCATTTGAGCGAGTGCTATTTGAGTGCCACACTTCCAGGAATTCTCTGGCTGTTCTGTTGTTTGCTTGGTTGATTATTTCTATGCTATTCTAGTCAAATGTGGGGCTCAGTTTGAGGGCATGGGTGGCTGCTAGGTATTTCTGATCTTGGTCCTTTATTGTCATTTTTCCCCCTTATTTCTTCGCTATAACTGGTATCTCGTCTGCCTTGTGTAGGTTACAGTCTTGTTTCTGTATACGTTGCTTGTTTTTGCTTAGTAGGGTATGCAAACTTTTGGTTAACACAAGATTCTTTGTACCATTTTTGTAGGCTTGTGGACAGCAAGGACTCTGAGGCATGTTCAATTCCAACATTCATGCTTTCATTTTTGCTTCCATTTTTCTTTTTCTTCCCTATCCATTTTATTCCAAGTTACACATAACCACTACTAAGAAATCATCTGTACCATTTGCCAAACATCTCATTCCCTTTGTATTTGTTACTAATTCTCTCAAGCTTTCATAATAAACAATAAAATCAGCCTTGCTTTTAGATATACTTTTTCATGCTATGTATGAATAGAAGTATGCTTAAATCATTTATCTGAAGTTAGTAGGTAAAATTAGTTATTCAAACAATGAATAACTAGAGAGAATTGGAGAACAAAATAGCAGAATAATAATACAGCACTTAAAATCAAATGTAAAATTCTAATGACATGGCTTATAACATAATTCACCCTGGGTTTAATAGCTGTTCTTTGTTACCCTAACCTAGTCCTGTGGCAAATCATCTGCATGCTTTAATAGCAAAATGTAATTGTCTTATAGATAATGTTAGGCTTGTTATCTGATAAAGGGAAAGCTAAATCTACCAGATAGCTACCATTCTCATTCATTCTTGGAATTCATAATGGCCCAGTTACTTTTACTCTCTTGCTTCATTTCCACCCTATCCATTAACGCCACTTATATCCTATAGAAATTATCTATCAGTACAAATTATGCTGAAATAGTGCCTACTTAATTTAAGATCGCTTCCTGTATTTCTGTTCCTGTTTACTATACACTTCCTAGGAAAGCACGTATCTCCAAACATACACATCCTCTCCTTTATGGCTTTTTCCTCATTTGAATAATTTGAGGATACCCATTGAGAATTCCGTTCCCTGCCAATGCAGCTGGCCCCAGCTATCATTAATACGTTCGTTAGATTCGTGCTTCTTTTGTTCACTCATTTGGAGAGCCTTGAATGAAAAGAAGCTGATAGAAAGCATTTTGGCTGAGGCTCAAAGGAGCTGCTATACCACACAAGGTCAGCATTGCCCTGCATGCAATTGATATCTGCTCTTGCAGTCAGTAGTATTCATGTAGAAATATAAAGAAATATAAAGATGGGGAGCCCGGAGGCTCTGCAAGTATTGCTGAACTACAAATACCAGAAGTCTCAGTCAGCAGGAGCAATTCCAGATGGGCTACCAATTGAGAACAATCAATTTTACAATCTCTGTAGGCAAAGACCTCATAAACTGTTTAGGATGGCAATTTTGTGTCCTGTAGATATTCTGGATTAAGAGATACTAGGACGGAACTGACGGAAGCTGTAATACAAAACATCTGGAGGGCACCAGAACCTATAAAAGGTGAAAACTAGACTGCAAGATCAAAATGACAGCATGCCAGTTTAGGTTAGGTTAGGATGGAAACATATGGGGAAGGAAAAGTGATGATTTAGAAGCTAAGAAGGACAACTAGAGAACCTGGGGGCTCCAGATTAAGCGGATTGAAGAGAAGAAACTGTTAAAACATGTAGGACATGTAGACAAGGCTTCCCAACCCCCAGAAACCAGAACCGGTCCACAGCCTGTTAGGAATCAGGCCACACAAGCAGCGGGCAAGCGAGTGAAGCTTACTTTGTGCATGCACAGGATCTAGGTTGTGTGCTAAATTATCCCCTCCCCTCCCCCCCCCAAGTCTGTGAAAGACAGTTATTCTTCCAAAACTGGTTCCTGGTGCCAGAAAGGTTGGGGACCACTGAAGTAAGGCATGAAGTTGATTACACAGAGCACGTTAGTTAGGCAGAAAGTCATTGAAATGCACCTCCTGCACCAACCTCAGAGGTTTCCTCCCCAAAATGCATTACAATATTTGCTCTGACTGACAATGAAGCTGCTTGGATGAACAGCAAAATGTCTCAAACCAAGAAGAAAATTAAGTCCAGTTGCCATGACCTTCAGACAACTTTACCTGGATAACTGAGAACCTTCATCAAGGTTTCTGTTAATGCATCCTGATGTCAGATAAGACTTTTCCTTTCGGTTGCACATGAGCGTAGGAAAAAATGCCAACAGCGCTACCTGAGCTCCAGATTATCTATCCTCTTTCAAACATAAAGCACTGTGCAGCCCATCAGTGTCTAGGGTGGGATGGTGCTTGAAAGAAACAAGATGGCAGCTTTCATTGCACAGAAATTACCACCATTTTTTATTATTACTTTTTAATCTCCCTGGATGCCCCTGATATAGCCCAAGTACCTATGGATAATTTTGTAAAATAAAAGGGGAGACTTCAGTTATAAGCCATTCTTCAGAGATTTGAGGGAGTTGTAATATTAGCATATGTAGAGATTAACAAGTGAGGGGATGCATCAATACAATACAATTTCAACTCCCCCTCCCCCACAATCCACAATATCGCATTCTTAAGAAAATTAGATTATGTATGGTAAACTCCTTGAAATGCGTTCAGAGTAAACCCCTTGCTGGGTCTGCAGTGACACCGGGAGAGTTTTCTATTTAGGCAAATATTCAGAAGAATTTCCCCAGCTGCGGATTGAAAGAACGGCATACTTCAGACAATCCCCCTGAATGGAAAATTAAGTCCTACCGGGCCAGGCAAAGAAAATGAACCCTACCCGGCCACCCAAAGTGATCCAGCCGTCAACTTGATCTCAACCTTCGTGGATTCCGCTCAGGCAAAGACCCGAGTTCCACGCCTTGCTTAGTTGCCCTCTAAGAAGTTGCCCGACGGATAATAACAGACGGCATCCACGGCACCATCTCCCTCTAGGACCCGGGTGAAAACTGAAAGCCGGGAAGGGGCAGAATGCAGCCCACTGCGCAATGCACACGATTTCATACTTCAGCATCTTGGAAACCTGGGAGACCCACAGCAGCGGCCACACCGATCCAAGAGGGGGCGTGGAGAGGCGAAGCGTTGAGTCGCTTCCAGGAGCCAAGCCAAGCCGCTGCAGCTGGCCGCCCAGAGCCCTTGCCTGCCTGCCTTCATCCTTCTTTTATTTCCTTCGCTTCTCGCATCTCTTTTTAAATCTGGGAGGGGGAGAGAGAGAGAGAGAGATGCGCGCGATGGCTTCGCCAAAGGTCTGACCGGCCAAGCAGCCTGTATATATTATATCCACATTTGCTTATGTGGATGCTGCATTTACTTGCTGGCCTTGGATCAGAGCCGTTCGTGTATTGATCGGGCAACCGTAAAAGCCCTCCGATTTATTTATTATTATTTTAATTTTTTTTTCCTTCTTCACCCACGCCCACACCCTCCAGCTTGGAGCTCCCCTAGAGGGAGAGAGGGAAGGAGGGAGGGAGGACCTAGAGAGGTTTGCAGGCAAAGTTGCGAGTCACCAGGGAGGGGGGTCGCGGGGGCGATGCCGTGTGAGCCCGAGCTGCTGCAGCGGCAGGAGAGAGAGGGCTCTTCAGGAACGAGAAGGGGCCGAGCCCCGTGGGCAGCTGCTGCAGCAGAAGCTACGTCCGACTGAAGGAGGAGGAGGAGGAGGAAGGAAGGAAGGAAAGGAAGCATCATGAATCCTGTGAGGCGTCGGGCGCTGCGGCTGCTTCTGGCCTGGGGTGAGCCTTTCCTCGTTTCCCGGGTTTGGGGGGGGGGGTTCTTTCCTTAAAAACGGGGCATGGGGTGTTTTCAGCCCGCGTGCAGGCTCGATCCGGGAGGAGGAGGGAGGAGGGACGCTCGGAGCCCAGCGTGTCCTGGACAAAGAGGCAAGGCGGCGGCGCGGAGCTGGGAACGGGGCTCCGGGCTGCCTGCTTGTCGCCGCCTATGGAGTCAAGGAGCGGCGCGGTGGGAGGGTTCCAGCCGTCCCCTGCGGGAGTTGGGCCGGTTTTAGCTGCTGTTGCTGCTGCTGCCGCCGCCGCTCTCCTTGTTAGGTCGCTCGCCGCCTTGGGCTCCTTTAAGGCGCGAACGTGAGAGGGGCCGATTTGTTCGGCTGAGGTGGGAGCCCGGTGGGATCCTGACTGAGGCTTTCTTGTCAGGAGAGCGGTGGGAGGAAGAGGAGCCCGCCAGAAGGAAGGAGGTCTTCGTTTTGGCCGGGCAAAACAAAAAAAAAAAGGCATTTCTTTTTCCCTGAAGGTTTCTCTAGGATGTCACCTCAGGATTGTAAGAAGTTACTTTCCTCCCGGCTGCGTCAGTCAGTTAGACGCTGCTGGTTTGTTTTTTCCCCCCCTGAAAACTCTTCTTTATTCTATTCAGGAGGCATAAAACCAAAAACGAGCCAACCACATTGTTTTATGAACATGTTTTATGCTCAATATGACTGAATTAGGGTTCAGTGTCTCAAGCAAATCCAGAAAGCTGACCTTCCTGAATAAATCATTGGAAAAGCAATGTCGTGGGAACACAACCCGGGATGACATAGACTTTAAAAACTTCTCTTAATACATTATGCTAAGTTGTGGCTTGTTTCACCACAGTGGCTAGGTTTGCACAACATGCTAAGATGGAAAGCAGGGTTTCTACATTACATATAGGTTCACACGGAACATTGGGCAAAAGTTTCAGTAAAAGTGGCGTCCACATAGATTTTTATGGCATTGATTGATGCCAATAAATAGGGAAGATTTAACTGAATAAGCAGAAGTAACAGAATCATTTAGATAATCAAGTGTGCATCTTGGGCATAAAATTAGCCAGATTTGAATAAACTCTGAACAGTTAAGAATAAGATATGTTGGCAGGAGAAGCTAAGGGTGAAAGGAGCTCAAGATGGGGGAGTTATTAAAGGATATACTAAAGGCACACTTACAAATACTTAATTTCAGTGAGGGAAAAATGGAGCCAGCACAAGCCAGTGGGGCTACCAAAAAGCTTTGTGAAGATCTAAAAATGAAAAGAGGATAGGTCAGAAAAGAAGAGAAGAACAGACAGTAGATTGAAACTGTAGAGCTGGCACCAAGCAAACAAATGCTCAGAATGAGCTGACAATGCAAGGGAAAGTAAGAATGATTTTTTAAAAAAAGACTTCTTCGGTTTTATTCATGTATCCTAGATAGCTGGTAGAAGAGGAGAAAGAGGGAAAAGAAGATGGAGCAAACTACAGATTGGTGAAACATCAGCATCTGGGAAGATTTTAAAGCAGATCATAAAAAGATCTATCTTTAACACTTTGAATATTTTGCAATTGTTACCAAAACTCAGTATAGATTTATCAAACACAAATACTGATAGGTAGCTTTGTCTCATTTCTTTGGTCAAATGATTTAATAGAGTCTGGGTATGCTTGTTGGTGTATTTCAACTGCTTGAAACATCCCATGACATATAAATTGATAAGCTAACTAAATGTGGGGTGGATGGCATAACAATTAAATGAATATTAAATGGACACACACATATATACATCAAGTCAATGTTGACTCCTGGGTGACTGCCTGAACCCTGCAGTTTTCAGAAGTGGTTTTGCAGATATCAGTGCAGATATCAATGAGTCCTCATCAAACTGATATAAAGTGAGGTGTCACAATGAATTATCCTGGAACCTCAGCTTCATGTTTATTAATGATTTGGATGAAAGGTGACTAGAATGTTTGATTGGCAGATGGCACAAAACTAGCTGGATTAGCTATTATCCTAGAAGACTGAAATAAAACTCAGTGGAATTTAACAGAGACAAGTGTGATGTTCTTCACTGGGAAACAAAGATCAAATACACAAATATAGGATACACATGTATATGGTTTAGTAGTGATATTTCTGAAAAAGTTAATTGCAAAGTGAATATAGTGGGAGCTAGCAATATGATTTGGCTGCAAAAAAGCAAAATGCAATTTTAGGCTGCAACAACAGAAGTATTAATTTCTAGTAATGGGAAGTAAGTGTTCCCCTTGTTTCTAGCTTGATGACACTTCATGTCTAATATTATATCCACTTTTGGACACCATACTTCAAGAAGGAGTCAGAGAAATTGGAACAGGTTCAATGAAAGGCAGTGTGGCTCACTGAGAGATCATGTCTTATATTGAAGGAGCTGGGTGCATTTAGGCTTGTAAAAAGGTTGTAAAAGATTGACAGAAGGGATATGATAGCATTCTTCAAATATATGAATGGACGTCACATAGAAAAAAAGTCAAAATATGTTTACTTTCCATCTAGAATAAAGGACTCATAATAATGGATTTCAGGTACTGGAAGCCAAATTCTAGCCGAATGTTTGGGAAGGAGGGTTTTTTTTTTTTTTTAACGTTTTAACCATTTGCTAGTGGAACCAATTTCCCAGATAAATGGTAAACTCTGTTTCATAGTATGTGTCCAGATGAGGCCTGCACAATAATCTATCTGGTATACCTTAATTTGCATGCATAAGCAAAACGTTTTGGGCATGGAAGAACTGGTATGGGGTGCTCTATATTTGGATCAGAATCCTCGTGCTTTGGGAACAGACCTGAAATAAGTGCCTTTGGTCTGAGCATAGACCCATGTATTCCAGAACGACATTTTCAGGATAGTGAAAACAGGAAAAAGTCAAGATCAGTGGCAATGGTGGAGATTAAGCAGACACAGAAAAAGGAAGACACTGAGAATGATCAGGGGAAGGATTTGTAAGCTCCTCTGTATGCCATTGAATTCAAGTATGCATATCCAATTGACCAGCCTGTTCCAATGTCTTCCTTGGCCTATCTCCTTTTCACCACCTCTGCTGCCCTGCTTTGTTTGGGATTCAAAACAAGCATGGCTGTTATTTTGATTGCTGCTTTGAGCAGCGAATTGGCCCAGTGGCCTTTTTCAAGTCTATGATTCTATGAATCTTGCCTTAAATGAGAGCACATAATACTTGTAAATTAGCATGCTATGCCACCTCATCTAATTGTGGTTTATTCATTCTTAAACAAACTACTGTTTATGGTGATGTGTGATCACATTATTACTTGTGTGATGTCAGCATTCCAAGTAATGCACCCATAGAAAGCAGAACTCCAAGGCAGGTAGATTCCTCAAAGAACAAATGTATTGGATACATCATATTGGCACAACTGGTGAAAACTGACTCTGAAAGTTCCCACAGTTTTCACCTAATTAAAAGATCCCCCAAGTCATCAGTCACATGGTCCAATAGAAGTGCTGGCCAGTTGCTTGGTTACTTCACTCCTCCTCTCCCAACCACCTGTTGGAATGACCTTGGTTCCAGGGGTGAAATCCAGCAGGTTCTGACAGGTTCTGGAGAACCGGTAGCGGAAATTTTGAGTAGTTTGGAGAACTGGCAAATACCACCTCTGGCTGGCCCCAGAGTGGGGTGGGAATGGAGATTTTGCAGAATCCTTCCCCTAGAGTGGGGTGGGAATGGGGATTTTGCAGTATCCTTCCCCTAGAGTGGGGTGGGAATGGAGATTTTGCAGTATCCTTCCCCTAGAGCGGGGTGGAAATGGAGATTTTGCAGTATCCTTCCCCTGCCACGCCCACCAAGCCACACCATGCCCACTAAGCCACGCCCACAGAACCAGTAGTAAAAAAAAATGGATTTCACCACTGCTTGGTTCCCACAGGAAAACTTTTTATGTTGACTGCAAAACCCCAGTTAACTATTTCCCTCCCCCTCCCATCTAGTGGCAGCCCTGAAGCCTCAAAGATGGCCCCAGCCAGATTCGCTTCAGGGTTGACAATAGTGGTTTATTCATTCTTAAACAAACTACTGTTTACGGTGATGTGTGATCGTATTATTACTTGTGTCTGTAAGGTAAAAGCCTTTGTTTGAGACATCTCAACAATCCAGTTTAAGCTTTAATAGAGGAGAATATCTGTAGCCCAGGGTTGAACTGAGGAGGGCTTGGTGCTCTCTGAGCTTGGTTGTTTGCTAACAGTCATTTCATTATCTGACTAGGTAAAATCATCAATGCCAATGAGTCTGGGATTGCTCTCTGTTAATATAAATAGCTTGTCCTGCCTGTAGTGTTGGGGATACAGTTTTCTCTTTGGTAGTTCCTTGATTTGGATATTATTTTCTGCTTGACTGTCTGGTGTTAATCCCTGCTTATCTGGGTGTTGGTTGCTGGACCAAGCTAAATCCAAATCCTAGAACAAGCTGAATTCAAAAACACCAGGGACTTCCTAGAAGCTTGGCTGATGAATCAGCCAAAAATAAACACACAAAGACAAACCACATTTACATATCATTTAAATAAAAAAAATAAAAAAATAAAAACCAAACTGAACATATCCTCTCCGCCAATCAAAACCCAGATAAGCAGGGATTAATACCAGAAAAATAATAAAGCATAAAATAATGCCTTAATCAAGGAACTACCAAGGAGAAAACCACACCCCCACCAAAACTGACAGGGCAAGCTACTGTATTGTATATAAACAGGGAACAAACTGTACACTCACACTTGTGCTGATGTTGTTACCTAGTTGGGTAATGAAATGTCTGCAAGCAAACAACCAAACCTAAAGAGCACCAAGGGCTCCACTGTTTAAGCTTTATTGTACAGTGGGAAAAGGAAATCATAATCACTGTATTTGTTTTAAATATTTGTTTCCTACAGTGGAAAAGTTGAAAAATTTTGCCTGTCTGCCTGTCTGTCTTTTGTGTTATTCTTCTTGCATAGAATGAAACCTCTGCCTAT